TCTCATTAAAAACAAAAACAGGAAACCAGCCCTAATAACTTGGCTTCTTAGCACTAAAATGCTTTTATTTGATCAAGTCAAGTATCCTTTCTTGAGGCTCTGAGCCCAGTGTTGATGTGTGATGTCTAAAGATAGCAATTAAGAATTTTAAGTTCCCATGATATGGTATTTTTGCATCAGATATAATTGATGTGACCAGTCATCTGCCTAACCCATACTGCCAAGGGAAAAAGTGGGAAAAATCTTATGATCTTGGAGAAGGATTAAGTGTGCCCAGCCTAGAAGTGACTTGAGACAAGGAATATTACAGCAAGCCTCTCCAGGAAGAAAGGCTGAGCCTTGATCTACATGTCCCCTGACTGAATCTAACAAGGAGGCCATGATAGCTAAGTGCAGCATCAATCAGCTGAGATATTTTTGGAATTGCTGGCACGTGCTGACAACTGTAGCTTGTCACAAGCCTTGTGATCACTCCCATTAATGGCTTAACAGCTATAGCTTCCAAGCTCCAGGCAGCATCAAACTAAACCTGGGACCTAGAAGGGCCTGGCTCAGTCTCCGGGACAGCTTTGCTCACTTAGCATCTTAGGCTCACCCATCCCATCCTCTGAATTCTGTATTTTCCATGCTTGGACACCGTATCACAGTAGTTTTGATGGTACATTTGCTACATCAGTGACTGCAAAACAGCATTGGTTAAAGATGACCTATCGTATCATTTTAAGTACCACTAAAAAAAGAGAGAAAAGTGATTTGACAAAGGATGAAATACCAGCAATTATTTGGGGAATCCTAATTTCACAGATATTAAGATGTGAGAAAAACAAAACTGTCTTAGTAGCTGTGAAAATCAGACACTTAGATTGAGGTTAAAATCAAAGTTCCTGTGTTGGCTGTTTCACTCATTGTTGTGACTAAATTCCTGCCAAAAAGCAACTTAGGGGAAGTCAGGGTTATTTTAAATCACAGTCTAAAGCAATACAGACCAGGAATTGGAGAGATGGTCTGGCAGGCCAAGAGACCTGCCTAAGAGTACAAGTCCGCTTGCAGAGGACCTGGGTTTGATCCACCTGCACGGTGGCTCACAATTATCTGTAACTTCAGTTCCAGGGGATGTGATGTGTCCTTTGACCTCTGTGTTTGCTGCATTTACAGGGTACACATGTCCATGGAATAGGCAAAACACTTGTGCACATAAAATTAATGTATATTATATAATATGCAATATACTATATAATTATGGTATTATACTCTGCATGTATGTATGTATGTAGAAGAAAAAAAGAGTTCCCTTTTTCCTCTTTCTTATTACCGGCCAAGCTCTTCCTGGATATGCTTAGGCAATCTCAGCTTTCCAACCTGCAATCTCTTGGCATCTGTTTTATCTTGTTCTTTTATGTTGCTATTTGAAGCCAACATCCTCTGGCAGGAAAGTTTATAAAGGAAGCCAGGAAGCAGAAGTTTGGGGATGACATCACACCAAAACAACAGCTTTATGACTCCTCTCCGTTTGGCTCCATCAGTCATAAAGCGCTCACTTCTCTTGGCAATTTGGCTGCCTTTGCGACTTTGAAAGTGATAAATCTTCACTGCCGCTTTCTCCCAAAGCCTGGCCATCCTCTTGAAGGAGCCCAGGTGATGCTGAGCAGCAGGTCTTCCACCGAAAGGAGAGCTCGCTGGTCTCCCTCTTCCTCTCAGTCCTCCAGAGCCAAAACTCAGTTCAGGCAGGCTGTTGGCTCCTACCCCATGCAGAAAGGTCTCCACAACGATGCTCTGTGTCTCCCCCGGTCTGCCACCAGCCCAGGACTTTACAAGTCCTGCTGAACTGAGTCCACTTTGGACTTCTCAAAGGGAAGTTTTGCTAATAAAATCAAAGGCTCCAAAGGATGCACTCAGAATTCATTTGAGATCCTTCATTTACCCAGAATTCCCTTTGAAGTGTCTGATTTTCTCCCTAAGTTCTTGAACATGCATTTATGTAATCCACAACATGGGGTTTTTCTAAAGTTGTGGATGTAGGGTACATTTCCAAAGTTTAAGTCTTATCACAGCAGCTTAGAAGTTCTCGGGATGGCTTCTGCACAATTCATGGGACACACTGTGTGTCAAGATAAACCTGGGAAAGAGAAAGGAAACTGTTCTGCCAGGCATCTTACTGACCCATCAGCTGGGTGCCACAGGGTTTCCCTTCTCGGGTAAGAATGAGTGCTTCTGTCCAGTGGTTCACCTGAAGCAGAAATGCCTGCTCCTATTGTGATTTGAAGCACACTGTCTCTAATTGTCACCTGTTGATATAACCCCACTAAGTCACTCAGCTATGAATAGCCAGTAGCCACTTCCTAAGTCAGTCTTTGTCCTATTTCAGTGAATCTCCCAATTTTATTAAAAGTAAATTACTGTCGCTTCTGTCCTGGTGGTGTATGCTCCAGGCAGGAGGGTCACAAGTTCTGGGCCAGCCTGAACATCTTAACAAAAGTCTCTCAGATAGCAGTAGTCCTCTGTCCAATAGAGAGTTTGGTTTATTTTTCTAAAACGTTTATCGCTTATAGATTTTTGTACCTAGGAGTCCTAAACGTGTCCCATTATGGCTGAAATACTAAAACAATGCTTAGCTGTTGTTAAAAAGAGACAGAACTGTCCAATTTTGTTTAAAACATGTTATTTGTGCCACTAATATACAAGCCATGTGAACTGGAAACATAGAGGACTCTTGTGAGCATAACAAGCCCCTTTCAGAAGTAGACTGCAGGAGTAAACATCACCTTTTTAAACGTCAGGCGTGACCGTTTCATTTAGTTCCAAGATATTTTACATTATTTTTTTTTCCCTGTGACTCTGGAGTTTGTCAACTTGCCATCATATTTGGTGATTACACAATGGTGATTTCATGCCTCTGGTTTTGTCTAAAGGGGCTAGACAGAGCAGCAAAATCAATTTCTTCCCCATCTTTGTGGGAAGAAACAAAGGGAAATTGAATGCACAGTCTGCATCAAGAGCACATTAGCATCCTAACTGGGCAATCTGTCACACTCAAGGTGAGCCCCAGGTGCAGACAGGCTCTGTCTCTGGGCTGTGACACCCAGCCAGCACTTCAGTTAAAAACAAAATCCCTTGCCTGCCTTTGTTACCCACCCTGCTCCAAATGCATTTGACCTGAATCTGTCTCTTCTAGCTGAAGGTTCTCACAGGCATAACTATTCTGGACATAATCCTGGAGTAGGTGGGGTAACTTCACTAGATTCTGCCCCCTTGCTCACCCCAGACACCTCTTGCCCATCAGCTCACTGTTTCAGGTGTATTCTTCGGACTTCGGTGTAGCGGGGCAAGGGAAATTGTTTGTCCTTTTAACTAATACTTCAATGTAGAATACCCTCCCTGCCAAAGCTTAGGATGCCTGTTAAACTTCCACCCGGGGCACCCTGCTGACTGTAACAGACATCTCAACTGTTTTGCAAACTTCATGTCGGATTATGAATTCTCTCCCATCATGCCACTTCTGATCATCCGTGGTGTCACGTTCAGCTCCTCGCCCCCACCTAAATAACAACACGAAAGGTGCCATTTGTGGGGATTATATGAGAAATTACAAGCTTGAAGGCAGCAGGCAGCACTGTATGTCAGCGCCCGTGTGACGTGACACAGTGCCTTTCAGTTTCGTGTTAACAATCCAGAGTCGGATGGGGAAGCTGGCTTAAACCCCGTGGAAAAGGGAAAATCTCAAACACAGAGGCTCTTTTGTTTCCTTCATGTTCTTTAGTGCTTTTCTTCTTCCACCTTGAGAAGAAGTCCTGGAAGATCTTTCCCTTACATCTCCCAGCTCTTTATTTTAAAGGAATTATGGATTCACGGGAAGTCATAAAAAAACTTTGCAGAAGTTCCTATATATACCCAGTTCCCCCCCCCGCAGTGGTTACAAATGTTATGATTATGACAGGCTATCAAAGAGAGAAAATTCATACTGATAGGATTCAGTCAGTCATTTTAAAATATAGAAATATCACCCTAAAAGTAACCTGAACTGCTTAAATTCCTCTGTATTTTGTTTCTATTTATAAGCAGTAGCCATACAGAGGTTGCTGGAATACCCAAGGCTGTCTGTCTATACCAAGGGTGTCTGTCTACACAGCACAGAGAAGGCTCTCTCCCTCCCTGGGAGAGAAGGGCTCCCACCCAGAGAGAGATGGCACCCAGACTTCATTGGAGCCCCAAGCCAATGTTGTAACAAAAGAGTTACAGGAATCCCACATCAGAAGGTGTGGGTGTAAGGGCCAGGTTTCAGAGTTCAAGAGAAACACTGAAATGTTGCTGGGAAATTATAATGACGTACATAGACAGCTGCATGGCAGGGTTCTGATTCAGAGGGTGGGTCCCTACTTACAGGCATCAGCCGTGCAATTGATGAGTAGCCCATAGGCATGCTGCCTCTGATTTCCATGTAGTGGCATAAATGGGAACATCTGCGTGCCCGTTATAGAGAATGCACCCCAGCTGTCTCCTCACAGCTTGGGGTACTTGGTAAACTTCCCTTGCGGAAGACAGAATTACAGATTCACAGTTACAGGAGTATGCCTGCTTTTGCTTTTACAGAAGCCAGTAGCCCTTAGACCAATGGTAACAACAAGTTTGTGACAATGAGTGAGTCACTAACTTCCCCAAGCTTAGGTGTCTTCATGGATGGAGCAGAGCAAAGATTGCTTCTGCCTATTTCAGGGAGCTGAGGCTCAAAGTCAGTAATGGAGGCAGGGACAAAGAAGGCTGTGGAGTGGCCACAATGACATTTCTTTGCCCTTCTGAAACTACCACCAGCTATAGAAGTGTAGCAGTTTGGTCTTTGAAGGTAGCCTTATACACAAAAACAGAATGAGCCTGCCTCTTCTTTAGCCACATGGCCTAGAATTAAAAAGAAAAAAAAAAACTAAAGAAATAAAAACGGAATGTTTTGGCACAATAATAAAAATGCTGAGAAATCTTTTTTTTCTGTTCTTTTCCCTTCATTGCAGGCTGGCATGGCTCTGACCTATGATCCCACAGCCGCCCTACAGAATGGGTAAGTAGACCACATTTGCCCTGCTATTTTATTTTTTTCTAAGTAGTCTCTGGGTTTTGAGTCTCTACCAAAGACAAATGCCCAGATATGGTTTCCTTTTGTGTACTGCCTGTTAGCCAAACATTTCCTGACATTGCCTGTTTCTTCTAAGAAGTGCCTGTGATAACTGTTCCCAAAGTTCTGAGGTACTCCCTTAGCTCATCTCTTCCAGTCCTCATGTACCTCAAAACTGATATGAGAGAATACCCAGGTGTGGAGGGAGCATCAGTAGCATATGACAGAGAGTCATCTGTGTTTCCAGATTTTTATTGCCCACCTGTTTCCATGGAGGTCAACCTTAAGGGATACCAAGTATTTGGCCAGGTTCATTTCTGCAGTAGAGTTAGGGTCATGGTCACACTTGTTCAGGTCGTTGATTTTTCTCTCTTCATTTTAATCTGTGTATGAACAGGTGTTAGCTTCGAATCTTACCTCCCAAATCCAAGACTGTTAAACCACATGGTGTGGCCTCTTGCACTGTTCTGTAACTCCATTGGAATAATTGTTTTCGCTGTCTTCTAGTTCTCTTTGATTGGCTTTAGCTGACTTTCCATTGGCCCTGAGCATTGCTAGTTGCCTATTTTTGTCCCATGATCAGAATGGGGACAGTGTGTTAGTTAGGAGGACTGGGCAGTCTATGAGGCTGCTACTAATAGGTCAGTATTTATCCCTAGTATATGAATGGTCTTTGGGAGCCGATCCCACATAGAGAGATACTCCCTCGGCCTAGACACATGGGGGAGGGCCTAGGCCCCGCCCCAAATGATATGACAGACTTTGAAGACTCCCCATGGAAGGCCTCACCCTCCCTGGGGAGCAGAAAGAGGATGGGCTGGGGCTTGGTGGGGGTGATAGGGGAGGATGGGAGGGTGAGGGAACTGGGATTGACATGTAAAACAACCCTGTTTCAAATTTAAATTCAAAAAAAAAAAGGAAGAAAAAGGAAAGAATGGGGACAGAGACCTTCATCTGAATGAGTTTTGGTTACAGAGTTCATACTAGTTAAAATAGAAAGAATATAATGATTTTATAGTTAATTGTACATTAGTTTAACCACAGTAGTAATCATTGCTGTTTAGATCAATAAATATTTTTGCTGGGCCACATGTGAATGAAATTTAGATGTTCTATCAGCTTACTCAGAAACTGTTAAATATACAGCTTCAAAATTATAGGTATCAGCCACATGATGACAGGGTCATTATCCCAAGATGGCATTAATACTAATTTAAAAGTAGCATGTTCTATCTGACTGTCTCTCTTGCTCAGTTGTTCCCAAAGCTGTCGTGGACTGTTTGGATTCTTCAATACAGCCCAGAGCTTACACCTGACAGCAAGAGTGGTTTGTCTCATACACTAATGCTTTGCAAAAGACATTGCTGCCAGGCATGGTGGCACACGCCTTTAAACCCAGCACTCAGGAAGCAGAGGCAGGCGGATCTCTGAGTTAAATGCCAATCTGGTCTACAGAGCGAGATCCAGGACAGCTGGGGCTACACAGAGAAATACTGTCTTGCCAAACCAAAAACGAAGAGGAAGGAAGCAGGAAGACAAAGAAAGGGAGGAAGGGTAGGCAGGCAGGCACTAGATTTGACATGGCATTTGAGGGGTGGTGTCTTAGCTCATTAACAACAGGAACCAGGGAGATGCTTTCTGAGAATGTGGACTTCCCAAGCAGGGTGGTCTGCAGAGATGACCACCAACTGTTTTACAAGAGCAGACATTTCTCATGGAAGAACTATGCAGGTGCAGAAAGTGAATGTGAAAGTTTAAAATTTGTCTTTTCCTTATGGCATGACATAAATAATGAAGAAGGCCTGGAAGCAGGAAGATCTTTTAAGTGGGAGAAAGCACCAAGGAGAGATTAAAATAGCCCAAGGATAGGGAGAGAACTCTGTCAGTAAAATGTTTGCCATGTTTGTATAAGGACCTTAGTTGAAGTACCAAAGCCATGTTAAGGGAAAGCTGGACACAGTGGCAAGTACCTCAGTGCTGAGTAGAGACAGATAGATTTCCGGGGCTCGGTGGCCAGCCAGCCCAGCTTTCATGACTATTTCCAGACCAGCGAGAGACCCTGTGTAAAAAGTAAGTGGATAGTGTCCCGAGAAATGACACTTGTGTTAACCTGTGACCTTCACATGTGTACACTCAAGCAAGCAATCCCCACACACGTGTGCATCAGCACTAACCACATGAACACACACACACACACACACCAACTGAATATTAAAGTAGCCAAGTTACAAAGGCATGAGTTTGTTCTGTGGAGCTTGATACATACACGGAAGGAAGAGGGTAATGGAAAGGGACTGTCCAAAGGAACTGTCCATCTAGGAGTTCCACGTGGGTCCCCCACTGAGAACTGGCAGTGTGGTGAAAAGCCGGGTCCTAGATTCCCTTTCCTGTTGATCTCTGTTGCGCTGTGGTAGAAACAGATTAGACCCTCGCTGTCAGCCCAGAGCATTCACCCAACCCTTCCCGTCTTGCTTGCTTTTGACCTTTTCTCTCGGCGTTTGGTGTCACAGCATCCTTCCCTCCGCTGGGTCGCTACCACTGTTCATTCTTCTGAAACAAGTCTTTCTATTCTGCATCCAAGTTCATGGCCAGCTCTGTCGTTTGTGTTTCTGGCTGTGGCTTCCGAGGTATTAGCATCAAGTATTATGTCCATGTGTCTTGAGTCAAGAGTGGAATTTAGGGAGCCAGCAGATGGCTCACAGGGTAAGACCCTTTCTGTGCAAGCCTGATGACCTAAGCCTGTCGATCTGATTCCAGTCCCTGGAACATAAATAAAAAGTCAGGACCCATGTACAAAGCCAGACACAGGAGTGTGCTTTTGTAATCACAGCAATTCTACAGAGAGATGGGAAGTGGAGATGCTCACAGCCCGTGAGCAGCTAGGCTGGAGTATTCAGTATTACAGCAGACACAAGAAAGGCCTTGACTCAATACAGTGAAAGGTGATAACCAACTCCAGACAGTAGTCCTCTGACCTACACACTCACACACACACACTCATACACATACACACTCACACACACACACACATTCATACACACACATACACACAGGTAGGCACACACACACAGGCAGGCGCACGCACTAACTCACATATACACATTACCTCACACTCACACATACACACAGTCACTCTCACACACACATTCACAAATGTACACACAGCACAGGTAGGCACATACACACTCATAACATATACATACACTCATTCTTACACATGCACACACACATATACACACAGCACAGACAAACATGCACACACATATTCCCATACATATATGAAAATGGCTATTCTGCCAGTGGTTTGTTATTAGGGAGTTAACATAGAAGGGAAACTCTTAAAAATAATCTACCTGAAGAAGTCCAATAATATGATTATTTTGCTACAGTCTTCATAGTCATTCAGTTCCACTCCAGCATATAAAACTCTTTTCTTCTTGTAAATAATACTAGAGTGTACAGTCTAATACGTCCCACTGTGTGAGGAAGTATGTGTATGAGTAATTACGTGTGTACACCTGCCTGTGTATTTGCATGTAAGTGTGTGCATGTGTGAATGTGTATATGTGTGTGTGTGCATGCATGTGTGTGCACATGAGTGCAGTGCCCACAGAGCCCAGAAGAGGGAGTTGATCCTTGGGAGCTGGGTTGAGGGGTCGTGAATCACTGGAGGTGGTGCAGGCAACTCAGCCCAGGACCTCTTCAGGAACAGTAAACCTTCTCAACGGCTCGGATGTTTCTCTAGCCCAGTATCCTTTTATGCGTACAGAATAGTAAAAGAATAATGCACAAAAGGTGGAGTTTATTCTCTGGTACTTTAGGAAATAAGTGAGGACGGTGAATTTTACCATTTACCTCATTGTATATATTTTTTCAAAGATGAAAATCGATTTCGTTGGCTCATACAGGAGAGTCACTCTGTTCTGAGAGAGGCTGAGGACTCTGTGATGCTCCAGCCTGAGCTGTTCCCTTGCCAAGGCCTCCACACTGTAGTATCCTCCGATGTCTAACAACCATATAGTTACCCAAAGGCTTTTCTGAGTATACCATGGGCCTGGGTTCTAGTGTTTTCTCATTTCTGGAACCAAAATCCTACAAAGACGGAACTTAAGAGGGCAGATTCTGTTTCGGCTCACGGCTTGAGGGGACAGTCTGCTGTGGTGGAGGAGGCATGGCGGTGGGAGGGTGACCAGAGCGGCTTTTGACTGTGGTGGAAGGAAATTGCCAGTGCTTGGTCACATCAGGAAGCAAGGAACAGCCTGGAAGTAGAAATGAACTAAGAACATACCAGCTACTTCCTGAAGCCCCTCCCTGGGTTCAGCACCCTCCTCTGAAAACATGAGTATCAGCTAGGAGAATGAATGTCACCTCCACGGGCCTGGCAGGCCATGAGGATTTCACATACACGCCACAGCAGTAGCTAAAACTGTGAGCAGAATGAAGTATTCTGGACATGATGGGGCTGTCACAGCATGACCTCACAGAAGCTGTGGTTGCCGGCACAAGACCAAGGGGCCAGTCGACAATCCAGCATGGAGGAAGACGGGGCCTGTGCAGCCCCAGCCCAGGGCTGTTGGGATTGATGACTCCTGAGGGAGGCAGGGAGGGAGGCCGTTTCCTTCAGAGGTGTAGTCCCTGGTGTGTTGCCCTTGTCCAGCTGTGTGGCTCTACATACAGGCACATACAGGCAACACTGGGAATTCTCAGTGAGCGGTAAGATCAAAAATAATGGATAGTATGGGAAAGAAGAGGGCATGAGTTGCAAGGGGATTGAGGCGAGTTGGGACAGAAGAGTTGAGGAGTGACCTTAGGATACGTGACCAAGTAACGGAGTAATCCAGTGAGTAGAGTTCCATGACAGCCACTTTAATACTGCGTTGTGAAACTAGAGTCGAGACTTTGTTTAACGTATGTGTTAATCAGTGTAACTCTGCCGTAGTAAGACTTGCTGTTGGTGTTTAGTGGCTGGGAAATGCCAATTCCACCTGTTTGGATCCATCCAAGTTTCCAATTAAAATTAGTCCAATGTCACTTTTGCATGAGTTGGAGGTTAGGGTCAAAGTCATGACTGAAAAGGGAGACGTGAATAATTTCATTTTTCACCCTAGATCATGTTCAGCAAAACAACAATGTCCATTCTTCTGTGCTTACTCAGCAGGACTCAACCGGTATTCGTTTTTACTGGCTCCTGTTGTTTTATCCCTTCCTTGAAATCCACTATGAAATCCCATCACTATCAAATATGAGCGGGGCAGATGGGAAACGAGCCTCCCCACATTCCAAAGCACATCTTTCCCATGGCCCCTCCCCCCACGGAATGCTACATAAAGCCTCTCGGAGGATTTTATTGGAGTGAGATGTATTCTTGCCGGAGGTGAGGAAGGGAACGTCCCCTGTGGTGTTCTTTGCCAGCTGTTTTAGGCATTTGATATTAAGTGATATAGAAGCCTATCTTACCACTCTAAGAAAGAAACGTATGGGAAAGCCATGTTGGTATTACAGTAAAAATGACCGAGAATTTATTAATTTCATCCTGTTGTATTACCCTGAGGATCGTATTCATGGTTCCAACTCTAACAATATCGCCTGTGGACATGAAACACAAGCTCTTACTGTTTATTTTGGTGTGCAAATAGGATTTTGTATGTTTTCTTTATGGTAACAAACATTCCACCCTGGAGTTATTGATATGTCCATGTTATTTTTATTGTGAGTGAAATGAGATTTTACAGTATTACCGCTGACTGAAAATCCCCCTGAGATGGCCTTTCTTTAGGCAAACTGATACCCCATTAGTGACCCTACACCCTCATTTTCCTGAGCTTAGGAAGCATGCTTGCCTTTCTTGCCTTTAATGCCAGAAAATTCAGGAACTCCTTGCATTTCTTAAAAGCTCACATCTGGGGCTGGGGAGATGACTCAGTGGGCAAAATGCCTACTGTGTATGAGTGAGGTCCTAAGTTTGGACAAACAGGATGCCATAGTGTGAGTGTGTAATCCCATCACCCTTACAGGAAGATGGGAAGTGGAGACAAGAAAATCTCTGAGGTTCAGCGATGGGCTAGCCTGGTCTAGGCAGCAGCAAAATGAGAGATGTTGTCTGAAAAGCAAGTGGGAAGTGAGGCCCAGCACCTAAGGCTGTCCTCTGACTCTACACAGGAGTTAAGTACCTGAGTACACATCATACACAGAGATCAACAGGCTTTTGGTGGCTGGACAGCTAGAGTCTAGAGAGTGCTAGAGAGTCTAGATCGTTTTCTCTCAGCCCTCCATCATCTGGTATTTGGTTCATGTAAAACCACATCCTCATGTCCACACCAGGGTACTAATGTCAGCACTGTTAACATGTCAAGCCAGATGAGTTTGAGTTGCATTTTCCTCTAAGCATTGCAGAATGATTTGTGGGATCCCTAACCTTCCAAATGTCAGTAGCATCAGATTGTCTCCAGACATTGTCCCAGAAAGAAAGGACTGCTTCAAGCTCAGAACTGCTCAGGTAAACACATAAAGAAGGCTTCCATGCAATGCAGTTAGTGTCCCAAATATAAATGTGTGTGTACATATATGTATATGTATGTACATACATACACACATATATATATATATATATATATGTGTGTGTGTGTGTGTGTGTGTGTGTGTGTACATGCATGTACTATGACTCTGGAGCAATGGCTCAGTGGCTAAGGGCCCTATTATGCTCTCCTAGAGGACCCGAGTTCAGGTCCCAGCACCCGCATTGACTGCACAAAACCATCTGTAACTCCAGTTACAAGAAGCTGATGCCCTCTTGTGGGCTTTCAGTCACTACATACTTTGGCACACACACATTGGTAAAGGCAAACACATAAAAAACACATACAAAACAATAAATATGAAAAACACTAAACAAACAGAACTCAAGAGAGTAAACTATTGTTGGTTGAACAATTTGCCCAGCTATCCGTTCTCACAGTCTTGTATGTATCATTACTCTCATGCTATTACATACCAGATAAAACATCACCAGATAAAAACCACAAAAGGCACATGCATGGTGTGCCTCTAACTTTGTTAGGGTGACTACAAGCTGGGTTACTTTTCTGTTAGCTCTTCCCCATTACATAACACTTCCACTTGAAGCATTTATTTGGATTTGTTTAAATAGATGCCTGTGTGAAAGGTCTGGGCTTTGTTTCTGTATTTTTTATATACATGTGGCAGGTGCAGTTGTGTTTGGGGTTTTGTGTGTGTGTGTGTCCTTGTACTCATGTGCATGCATATTTGAGTGTATGTATATGCTGTGTCTCTATATGATATGTATGTATGTATGTGCATATGTGTATGTGTGTATATGGTGTGTGTGTGTGTGTGTTTAGCACAGAACTTAATCTGAGATGTCATTCCCCAGAAGACAGACACTCACCACAGTTTTGGAGACAAGGTCTCTCATTTTCCAGAATTTCACGAAGTAGGTATAAATGGAGTTCCTAATTGGTCTAGATAATAAAAGGCCAGAGTCAGATACAGAGGGAAACCTTGAGAGATCAGAGAGAAGGAGCGAGCCACAGCACGCCTCACCTCCTAAGCTTCCCTGCAGAGAAGAGAGCGATTTCCTGTTTGTTCCCGCTTATATCCTGTTTCTGCCTAGCTATATCACTTCCTGCCTGTCTGTACAGACCTCCAGACCTCTATGGTTAGCTAGTGGCAAGCTCCATTCTCTGATCCCCAGAAAGGCTTTATTTGTGCAAGAAAGATATCACCACAAGTAGGTTAACTGTCTGTGCAGTGAGCATCAGCCATCTGCCTATCTCCACTTCCCGAGTGCCGGGATTAGAAGGTCATGCTACCACACTTGGCTTTTCATATGTGAAGTCTAGGAATTAAACCCAAGCCTCATGTTTGCCCTTTACTGCCTGAGCTATCTCCTCAGTCAGACAGTGTTTGTAAAGCATGTAGACATGTGGCAGGGGCTCGAACACACTGAGGTCCTTCCTTTAGAGTCAGCATTGCTCTTTTGGGCACAGCCCTCCTAAGGCCCAGCTACCACAACAGCCTCACCCGGAATAACCTAAACTGGGGGTGTTAGTAAATGTGTCTGTCCCCTCTTTGGCTGTGAAAGGAGTACACAAATAGCAGGATTGCAGAATTGGGAGATTGTGTATGCTGCGCTCTGCCCACTCTTCCCAGTATGTTGTCTCCTTACGTGACTCTGACTTGAAGGGCAGTTTTCGAACATACTGGGAAGTATGAGATGTCATTCCTGTTTGATGGATGGGATTAGAGCAGCTAGAAAGAAAACACATTAAAATTTCCCCCATGGGTTCCTCTTGTGAGTGTCCGTTTACTTGGTTGGTTTCTTTATATTTCTCTCCTCTGCATTCCCTACAGAATTTCTTTGCAAATTCTGTCAATCCAATTTTTATTGCTTTCATTTTTAATACTCCAATCGGAACATTTTACAAAAATAAACCATTCATACTAAAATGCATCACATGTTTTATCTGTCAGTTTAAGAAGCTGAGAGTAGGCTTGTGGCACAAGTTACATCATTGTATGGTGCAAGAGACAGGCACTTTGTTGAGTGGCCCTGGGTACCTGTCATGTCCTTAGCAGCCTAGGGAAAGTCTCTCTGCCCACTGCCTTATAAACAGAATTTGTCAAAAACCTAAAAGGGATTATTAAAAACAAACTACATCTTTCACAGAAAGTGTCTAGATGAAAAATAAAAAAAAAAATAAGTTCTAAAATCCTTGGTAAAACCTAGATAAAATAAGTTTTATTGAAATAAATGTAAAACGTCACCAATCCTTGCTTTGAATCATTCACTATTTGAGTCCTGGCAACTGGGAATCTTAATTTTTTTTTTACCCAGTAGCACTATAGTGAAATTCTTCCTTGTAGAGAAATTCATGTGATACTGTTTTCAAAGTGTCAGAGAATCCTAAGGGTTAAGTAAGTCTTTGTCCCACTAACTAGAAAATGAACATCATGATAGACTTTTGTTACACATTTAGCAAAGGAAAACAGTCACTGCTTTATCCCTGATTTTTCCCAATCGATTGGAACACCTGTGCAATCATGTGACCTCGGTGGCCTATTCTTGTTTGTTCTGTGGATGGCTACTTTGACCTTTCATGTAGTTGGAGCTCTGTAAGAAGAAACAGGGTTTAAAATCCCGTTGAATGACATTAGTAGACATCTGTTAGATGTGAAGACCTAGCCTGCCAACTGATGGGTATCCCACTGTTTTTTTGTATCTAGGAATTTCTATATAGTGGATCTCTAGAAGGTTCTTCCCTCAGATTCATGCATTCCTATTCTCACCCATATCATCTTACAAATTCTTCAGTGAGGGTTCCAGAAGGTGAAGAAAACTTATTGCTCCTCATAATCTCCTGGAGCATGTTCTGAGATCCTGTTATCTATACTGCTTCCTTGGTGGGATCCAGAAAGTTCTTGTTTCAACCCAGATGCAAACCATCCTCTTTCCTCTCTTTCATGGAGAAAATATTCTCTGAGGAGGCATGGATGCTAGCCCAAAATATCTAGAACCTTCTACGAGCGAATTCTTATTTCCTGACCAGATGCAATTGCTGTGGACGGTCACTAACCATCCTTAGAAAGCTTGGTGCCCTCTTCATCCATTCTTTCAGGAGACTCTTGGACACCACTGCCTTGTGTAAGGCTTGATATTTCTCTCTGCCTGTTAGCTATCAAGACAGCTGTGTTCGAAGTTGATTTTGTAAGATGACTTAAAATTGTCCCTGTGTTGAGCGAATTTGTCCTTGACAGAGTAACCTGACCTTGTAAACCTTCCAGATGGCAGAAAAACAATAGTGGGATTGCTCTTTCCCCCAACTGCTTAGTAGAGCTAGATTACAGGCCAGGAATGCAGCAACTTCATGAATCTTTTTCTGTTGTTTTCTGTTTGCAGATTCTATTCCTCGCCGTACAGTCTCGCAACCAACCGCATGATCCCACAGACATCTATCACGCCATTCATTGCCGCCTCCCCTGTCTCCACATACCAGGTACGTCCGCTCACCTGTACCTCATGCGAGATCTTCCTTGTCAGCAATATGCTCCTCAGAGATCAAAAGGGCATGGTAGAAGTAAAGGAAAAATTAGTGGCCCACATAGTAGCTGTGGCTTAATAAGATAACGTTCCTGTTGCTAGTGTAGACTCCCTGGCTTCCCAGGGTCCATTTGCATCAGTTCACTGAGTAATCAGATCTCACATGGTTTCCACTCAACCTGCCTATGTCAGCATAGCTCCTTCCATGCTGGGAAACGATGCTGCCTGACGTCTGCTCTTTCATTGCTCATATTCCACAGTGGGTCTTCTGTAATAGCACCTTTGCAGAGTTCCCTGCCTCCAGGGTGGCATGCCAGGGTCGTCTCATTTATTTATTTATTTATTTATTTTTTTGTCACAGTTGTCCTGGCAAAGGTACCCTGTTAGATGTTCGATGGGACCTCCCAATAGGGAAGACAATCAAAGTGATAAAACATGTTACTTCTTCCTGCCCTTCACCTCATTTCTTATTCCTAGAAAGATGAGACTTTGGGGTCCCATGTGTGGAAATTTGGGGGAATCTGAGACTCACTGTGTTCTAGCCAGCACTTCCAAGTCCAAATGTGGATTGAGGAAGTCACATGCCTCCCACAAACCCCACTCCTTATCTTGTTCTTGGGATTCTGCCAGCTGGGCCAGTCACTCCATTCTGTATCCGCTGTTGCTCATCACCCTTTTTCTCCCGGTTCTCGTTAGAAAGTGCCTGTAAATGCTCCATGTGCAGGGAATGTGAACAGGGCAAGGAGAGAGCACAATCGTGTAGGCCTGTGATTTCTTTGTGATGGGCAAAGTGCATGTGGATGGGTGTTTCAGAGTGGGCAGGAAGCTAATGTTGCCTGTTGCTAATAATCCAGTGGCATCTCCCTGGCTCAGTCACTCCATATATGTTCTGTGGGAGTATCGAATTGAAGTCCGTGTGCGCTTTCCCTTGACCATGGATTCCCGAGAAGCACACCTTTCCTTTTCTACACTCAAACTCTTAAAATGATATCCCTGTACCAGTGGGGTAGATTTTGTGTAAATGGCACTAAATGGGGTAGCTTTTGTTTAAATGGCACTAAATAAGTGTTTCCATGGTGACTACTTCATTGATCTCTCTTGGGAGCCATGAGGTTGTGTGAAGGCGTGTTTCCATTTTGTTCTTCCTTTAGGAGTGAATGTGTGTGTGTGTGTGTATGTGTGTGTGTGTGTGTGTGTGTGTTGTCTTTTTTCTACTCTTGGCCACTGCTGGAGTCAAGACCACCCACTGAGCCACAGCATGGAATACTTAGGTGACGTGGATAATATATCCACAAAAAAAAAAAAAAAAATGATTATCTTCTCCCAAACAAGAGAAGCAGCAATTCCCCACATTGTTAATTCTTACTTTGCACCATTTAAAAAAAAAAAAAAACTAATCTGAAGTATATTGGCAGATTTGAGGGTGAGAATATATTGCAAAATAAAATCCTCCTGGCTTTCTATGTGACAATCCACTCACACAAACTTTCTCATTCGGGTGATACATGATACTTTTTGAAGAGGTAGTGGCTCTCATATATATATTTTTATCCATAGTGCCAATTGTTATGAGAAAGATTAATATCACAAACATGTTTAAGTTGGCCTCAACCTAAAACATTCCTCCACACTTTCTGTTTTATTTCCTTCTGACACTACTTTTGCTGCTTGGCTAGCTCTAGGATGGGGTCACATGCGCATGGGAAGCTGCGGTTGGTAATGAAACAAATGGGAGATTTAGCAGCCAACCTTTGACTCTTTCAGTGTCTCCCTGATGTCCCTGGAAGCTGACCTACCAATAGTCTGGGGCTTTTTGTGACTTTAGTCTTCAACTCCGACTTCAAAATAATGTTTCAGGGTTCATCTGTGAGGGATGTAAAAGTAGCTCAGTCAGCAAAATGCTTGCAATCCCCAAAATCCAAAGGAAAAGCCGGTGCAGTGGTACAACTGTAATCCTAACTAAGGAGTAGAGATATGCAGATCTTGGGGCTCACCGGCCAGTCAGCCTAGCCTACTTGGCAAGTACCAAGCTAGTGAGAGACCTTGTCTCAAAAGTATAAGGTGAATTTTACCTTATGAATGACACCTGAAGTTGTCCTTTGGCTCTACATCCACTCTTACAAATGTAGGCACACATCCTCACACACACACACACACACACACACACACACACACACACACACACAGAGCCTGGCCTGTGAGGGTATTGCAGCCAGTCACCTAGATGGGAGATTGCTAAATTAACCAGGGCTAAGGGTCCCTGTCTCCACTTCCTATGACATAGTGCAATGCCGCCGAACACAAGAACCGAGTTCCCTCTGTGATTGCCTTGTCCTAATGAATGCTGTTTGATGCATAGGTCCAGAGCACTTCATGGACGCCTCATCTGCCATACATTATGCAACCAACAGTAAGTGTTCTCAGTCACCTGAGGCTCAATGTTTCTATTATCCAAGTGCAAGCTTTCATGGTGCATAGTGGCTTTGGGGTGGAGCTTCGTCACATACTACAACTCTGTCAGACAGCCATTTTCTCCAGAAGCACACACACGGGCAGCTAGAGACATGGGTGAAGACAGAGGCAGAGACAGATCTGTATAAAGGGGACTTCTGTCCCAGACGGAGAGTCTGAACTCTTGACAGTTAACCCTGAAATAGGAGGAAAAGCTTTTTTTGCGTCCCATACTTTTTGTTGCGTTCATCTTACTCATGGTGCAGTGTGATGGGCTCTGGGGACACTTTGTACCATCGTGGCCAAGTACAGGCTCAGTGCGATGCATTTGTAGTCCCTACTAAGAAACGATGAGGCATGGGCAGCCAAGCGGGTGGGGTTTTAAGGATAATGTCTGTTTGCCATTCTGTCCTTGCCTGTGGGGGGAGATGTCTTTCAGAACATTCCAAGTGCTGGATTTTCCACATATGCGCCCTCTCCTCAGTCCCCAGGGAGAAGTATTGAAGGGGACCTACGATGCAGCAAAAGATTCCTTTGATTGGTTTTGTTTTACTGTTTTTATAGCTCTATAGGACAGGAAGGAATGAAAAATAGAGGGTGAGAGACAGATGGACAGACAGTCAGACACACACACACACACACACACACACACACAGAGAGAGAGAGAGGCAGGAAGACAGACAGACAGACAGACAGAACAGAGAGGGGATGAATTTCAATAGCACCACATTCACTACAGTATGAGCGAGAGGTCAGTGCCCTAAGTGGAGAGTTGTGTTGTGTGGCGGGTGCTCAGGTTCTTTTTCTGTTACTTAACAGTGCTTTGGCAGGAGAGGGATTGGAGAGAGAAACCATAAGTGACAGGGACTATGAAATGTGTTATAAATATTATCCTCATTATAGGATTTTAACCTTTTGGATCCCTCATTTGCATAAAGCAGCCATAGTAAAGATCAGGGGATTAAATGCACGCACGCGTGCGTGCACACACACACACACACACACACACACACACACCACCACACTTACTGCATGTCTGAGAAAATGTTTTTCAACTTTATAAGTTGCCATTTCATCTTTTTAACAAGCAACTTTTCATATTGCCCTTAACATTTCAGTAGTTGTCCTTTATTTTGCATGCTTCGGTGTGTGTGTGTGGTGTGTGTGGTGTGTGTGTGTGTGGTGTGTGTGTGTGTGTGTGTGTGTGGTGTGTGTGTGTGGTGTGTGTGTGTGTGTGGTGTGTGTGTGTGTGGTGTGTGTGTGTGTGTGGTGTGTGTGTGTGTGTGGTGTGTGGTGTGTGTGTGTGTGTGTGTGTGTGTGTGTGTGTGTCTCACTACCACAGAGGTTGAGCCTGTATTTTGCAAGCCCCTCTCTTTTCCCTTATTTATACATTTTGGGGGCTTCCTGAGTTCGTCTGTCCTGTGTCCTACAAATTATACCAATATGTCCAATACAGAGCAAAAAACCCAGGCTCTCTCTCCAAGTCATGAGGTAAAATTCAGCGTGTTCTGCCAAAGCAATATATAGCCTAGCCCAGACAAAGCCAGCACAGGGAGAGCACAGAGTGCCTGGCAAGTTCTGCAGAGGCAGAGGTCCAGCAGGGACCAATAACCTCTTCAAACAATAATAACGTGCTCACCTACAGAGTAATGCTGCTCGTAGTCTCTCTCTGAGGTCAGCACTGTCGCCTTGTGGCCAAAAGGAATGCACATCTGGCAAACTGAGCATTTTTCCAGATGTCATGGATGACTCCCCAGTCCTTCTGGCACTCCTAAAACAGGGATATAGGGAGGGAGGGGAAGAGAGACAGCCTTGGGTATTCGAGGCAGATGGGGAGGGGGGCTGCATGTATCTTTATTTAACTGGAACTAGGCACTGTAGCCAGAGCATTCTGATTCCTCTTCCTCTGCCCCAAACATCTTCAGCTCTGTGGGCACGTGCATCTGTAACGTATTTTCTTCTTCAATAGTCTGTGTGTGTGTGTGTGTGTTAATGTGTCTCCTTGGATTTGCTAGCTATGGCTTCTGGTTAATGATACCACATCACTCTCCCCATGATTGAGTTATGCATCACGGTTGGGCTTGGTCTCTGAGTCTAACGTGTGCGGTCTATGGCTTCAGTGGTTTCCTGGACAAAGGATTGCCTGGGCCACCCACCACTTTGTTTTCTGAAAATGAGCTAAACAGTGTCATGGCAACACAGGGTTTAATGTCATCAGTCTCCCCTCCCCAACAGGCTTGCTGGTTGTCTATATTGTCTAAGGAACTTTACCAGCTGGCCTGGGATCTTCATCAAGGCAACAGTTAACTGTTCCCTCTGTCTCTGCTTGTGATACTAAAATGTAAATATACTTCAGCTTTCCTAGGCCAAGGAACAGATGAACTGGAGTTGGGGAGACCAAGCAAGTTGGGGACTGATTGTGTCGATTCTTGGCTAGGATTTTTGAACTGGGAAATCCTTCTAGCTTGTGGGGAGTTAAGCAATGGTTCAAACTATCCTTGTCCTCACATGAACACAGTAAGCTCTAAATAATTGTGGATTTTGTGTATTAAATGAAATATAGTACCAATGCTCTGGAATGTGGCTTGGCGAACAGCAGATCTCAACAAATGGTTATTACTGAATTGAAATACATAGATAGCTAAACCTATTTTAAGTAATATCTTTATAGAAAATGGGATGTTTGTATAGAAATAAACCTAAGGATAACAGTCATCCCTTTTTCTAACATTTGGGGAGTACTTAAATTCATTACAAATAAGTTTGGCGCAGATACCTTTATCTATAAACATACAACTATTGATATCAGTACTTACTATATTTCCCAGTTGAACCATTTAACTTCTAATTCTTAAAGGTAATAGTTATTAAGTATATATTTCATTAAGTGGAGCTTGATTGACAAGTATGTCCACATTGTCAGTATCCACATCTCAAATATGTAACCCCAGTTACTTTCAGATTCCCCCTTTGTCCTGGTTGGCATTAAGTGTCAATTCGAAACAGCTTGAAATCAGCTGAAGAGAGCCCCTAGTGAGTAACTGTCTATATTAGTTTGGTATACCGGCCGGTATGTGGGGAACTGTCTTGACTGATAAGTGATGCAGGAGGACCCAGTCCGCTAGGAGGGGATACAATTCCCTGTGTAGATGGTCCTGGCCGGTATAAGGAAACTCTCAGAACATGAGATGGAGCAAAGCAGAGGGTGAGCCGGAAAACCGTTGTTCCTCCACAGCTTCTGCTCTGACTGCCTTAAACGGCACTGTGACACACAAGCGCAAGTAAAATAAACCCTTCCTGAGCCTAAACTGCTTTCGGTTGCGTTTGCCACAGTAAAGAAAGGAGGCCAGATCATACCTCTATCCCATATTCTGTCCCCATCTCTAGACGATCTCGTGTGCGATCCTCTTTGTAGTGGGGGCCCCTCACATGGCCATGCTTGTATGTGGACTCCTAAGTGGGCACTGGACGCTTCATCCTGATCCAGCGTCCTTGAGGTTTGATTTGGAGGACCCTGTATTCTCTAAAAGGATATTAATTGAGGACAGAATAGCGCTCTGTGAAGTCATCGAGCACTGAAGTCGAATGCCATGCCCTGGGCCTCTTTGCTTGAATGTGTGAATGTTAAATCAGAGCAGTAGTGATTGGTCAGTGAGAAATGAGTATTTGGAGGAAGGGGCTCTAGTGAGAGGAAGGAAACAATTGTACAGCTGTGTGCTGTACAGGCAGACGCCTGACAAGTAGCACCTCGAGGCGGGAGGCCTTCTCCAGCAATGTGAGTGCCTGAGACTTTCTTCTGGCAACCTGAGGCACGTGGGGGGCGGGGCTTCGGGTTAAAGTGGATCCTGATGGGGAAGTTACAGCATTGTAAGAAGTTCTCAGGAGTGGGGCAAATGGAGCTTGCTCACATGGCATCCAATCAGAAAGCAGAAGAGCAAACCGTGGGTGCGCAGCTGGCTTTTTTCTCTAGCCTTTTTTTTTTTTTTTTTTTTTTTTTTTTTTTTTTGTTCCCTCTGAGATCCCATGTCGTAGGAGGGCACAAGTAATATTTATAGGGGGTGGTCCCTGCTCAGTTGTTCTTCTCAGGAAATGCCCTCACAAATGCACTCAAAGTGAGCTTCACCAAGTCCCAGGCATTGCTAAACTGATGAAATTGACAACCCACGATGGTAACTCCTATAGCTTTCCAGAGCTTGCTGTTTGTTTGCTGTCTTCAGACTCTTAACTTTCTAAGCAGAGTACCATTTAATTAACTTACAACAAAAGACTCTAGGGAGATGGATGATAAGTCTCCTTTCATGAGTCACAGCCAGCGTTCTGGTGTTTGTACAAGGGAACAGTTCACAGTTCACTGTAACTCGATCCAGAGACCTCATTGGATCTTCTGGGATGTTAGACCCTTCTTAGGGAAGACAACTGTGTCTGTTTGGCCTGGTTGTTGCAAACTAAGAGAAACTAGAGACCCCAAGATGTGAGGACATTTGACTGTGAGCAACTCTACAGCAAGTTTGGTTGTCTCTGCTTCTCAGCTCAGGGCTCTCAACGGTTCTGGACTGTTCTCTGAGAGCTCAGCCTCACACAGACAGACTGACAGACTGCACTACACACAAGCAGCACAAGCCATGGGAATGGCACATGAATGCACAGTGGACAGCTTTGCACTGCAATGCATGCATGCTTTGTTGACTCCAAACTACTGACTAGGGAAGAAATGAATGACAGCTCCCAAGAGAAAGCAGAGTCCCATTGTCTTCAAGTCTATTCAGGCGCCTTTGAATCATAAGCCTCCATTTTTCACATGGTCAATGTTACTTCGTCTCAAGGAGAAAGGTCACCTTTCGATTCTACTTAATTATAAGTTGGTGATATAATTACATCTGAATAAGAAGTGTGAGGTGCCCTTGTTGCATCTTCAACAGTTCAATCACCATGCTGGCTAAATGGTAATTTTTATGCTGA